ATAATGATGGTCGTCTTCTACTTGCTTGTGTTGGGAATTGGCATCTGGGCGTCTGTAAAATCTAAGAAGATGGAGAAAAACACATTCACTGGACAGATAGAAGTTTCTTTTTTGGCTAACAGGAAAGTCAGCTTGGTAGTGGGAGTCTTCACAATGACGGGTGAGTTTTTTGGTCAGGCAGATACATATTTGAAAATTCAAACAATATCTGTACGTAATCAGATTTTTGTCTCGTATGCTAGGCAGTACTGTATTATTATTATAATAAATATAATAATCAGGTCAATCATATACACAATTGATTATTCAAACAATAATTTCATTTGTACACCGGTTTAGAAAAAGAAAAATTCTGACATGTTTCAATACATTTTGGTTCTACAAATCACTACAGCATGTTGTATTTTTAGCTCTTCTTGGCTTTGAATAAAAGATGTTCTTTGTGTCTACAATTATTATAAACAATTCATAATCTGAAAGATGCATTTATGTAAACATGGTATGTTTATTTCCGGCTCTAGCCACTTGGGTTGGAGGTGCCTTTATCATTGGAGTTGCAGAGACTGTTTATGACCCCACAAAGGGACTCATCTGGGCTCTTCTTCCTCTGCAAATGTCAGTTTCCTTTATTTTTGGTAAGACCCTCTCAAAAAATCGTATTCAAAGCATATGAAGAACAAGATAAACGCACAAGACATAATATTCTGCTACCGAACCCTGAAAACTGAAGTATAAAATAACTACTATATTTGTTCTGTCTTTTAAAGGCGGGCTGTTCTTTGCGAAGCCAATGCGGGACCAAAACTACATCACTATGATGGATCCATTTCAGAGAAAGTATGGAAAAACACTGACTGGGCTTCTTGCCATTGTTCCATTCATAAGTGAAATGATGTGGGTTCCTGTCACACTGATTTCATTGGGTAATACATAAACGTTGAACACATTCTTCTCCAGAGGTGTTAAACAAATAATAAACTTCATCCATATAGCACCTCATGTGTTTTTTGTGTGTGTGCGCTTCCAACAGGGGTTACCATTAGCATCTTCTCCGATCTGCCCTTAAGTCTTTGCATCTGGATCTCTGCTGCAGTGGCCATCATCTACACTGTGCTTGGAGGTCTCAGTTCAGTTGCTTTCACTGATGTCATCCAGCTATCGTTAGTGTTTTGTAGCTTGGTAAGCTTAAAAAAATACAGGCAGGGCAGCTTTTCCAACACACTAAATGTATGATACTCTTCCTGGATTGTTCTTACTGTATCATTTTCTCTGTTTATAGTGGCTGTGTGCCCCCTTTGTTCTAGCAAGTGATGTTTATACGGACATCACTCAAACAGCGTTCAACCACACACATCAGGCTCCCTGGCTTGGCCGCCTTAAGTCTGATGAAGTGTGGAGATGGATTGATAATTTCCTATCAATGGTAAGATCAAGTAGTAAAATGCTAGAAAATACTGAGTTTTTCTTCTTTGTCCTCACGTTCTTTTTCCTGCATGGAACTCTGCCTTAAAAAAGTTTACTTAAAGTTCCCCCTCCACTCAAAAATGTCTTTTGCTTATTGTTGCTTCACTTGGATGTTAGAGCTTCACTGTGCAGCCATAAGCCCATCATATGTAAGATAAATTCACAGATGTAAGACTACAAGTTTGAAAATGAAATAATCTGTGGATGTGGAGATAGAAAGAAGTGAATTTAAAAGCTTCTGTGAGGGCAGATCTAGAGAAATATTCATGGGGTGGCCAGATGGTGGCATGGAGGATGTCCAAATACATGTCTTTTTTCATCATCTATCATTTAGTGTAAAATGTTGCTATAACAGATCATTAAATTAATTAATTTTTTTTAAACGTTATTTACCATTATACCATTTTATGGTTTACTATTGTTTTCCCAGAGTGCTGGGAATTTGGCATTTCAAGATTTTCATCAAAGGACTCTCTCCTCCAGCTCCACATCTACAGCCAGAATGATCTGTTTTATAGCAGCTGGTGTTGTCATTGTTCTTGGAATTCCACCCGTGCTGATTGGTGCCGTTGCAGCCTCAACAGGTATACCTGACATACTGGGCAGCAGAAGGGTGTAGTTTATATTTTTGACAAATATGACTACTACTAGCAAACTACAGATCGATACTGACAATATGACAACAAGCATTTTTTTGCTCAATACATGAGCTTATTGGGGACGCTAATGTAATGTGTTTTATTTTCTCTATTTAGCACATATGCCTGCACACATAAAGAATTTCACAGACTTGCCATCCTCAGTTTTAGTTTTAGTACTTTTTTTTAGGTAAAGCTGAGAGCTAGTCCAATCTAGTTGTCGATTTGGAAGGAAATCAGATTTTTAAAATTAATATTTTCAGATGTAGGTTTCTTTTTAAAATGTTAAATGTTACGGTGTACTAACAAGATGGCTAACAGTTTAATCACTTTATTTAAACACTAAATCACACTAAACTAAAAACTATTTCAATAGCATCTTAGCCGAATAGCATCCAGCAGCTTCCACTTATGTTTCAGATTGGAATATGACCTCCTATGGGTCGCCCTCTCCGTATGAGCGAGGAGAGACGGCCATGGTGTTGCCCATCATCCTTCTGCATCTTACCCCGACTGCTATTTTCGTTGTTGGCATGGGAGCTATCGCTGGTGCTGCGATGTCATCTACTGACTCCTGCCTGTTAGCAGCAACTGCCATCTTCACCACCACCATCTACAAGCCCATTAGACAGCAGGTACAAGGAAAAGGTGGTTAGAAAACAGCTAAGTCAGCGGTTATCCAGAACAGTGACCTCTTTAGTGTGTGAACAGTTATCCTAACACTGCAAAGCATTCTGTTTATATTTGCCCTCAGTACTGTGAATACTTGCCAATTAGACGTTCATTTGCTTGCTTGTATGATCATTCCGACATTTTAACTTAAATATTATTTGCTTTTCTCTAGGCCTCAGATAGAGAGCTGCACTGGGTGATTTGCTTCTCCATAGTGGCTGTAGGGATTGTGGGAACTTCTCTCACCTACCTGGACAACAGCATCTTAGCATTCTGGATCCTGAGCTCAGACTTGACTTACACCATAATGCTCCCTCAACTGATCTGCATCCTCTTCATCCAAGTTTCTAATGGCTATGGTGCTGTTATAGGTTATATTGTTGCTTTTGTGATGAGAGTTCTGTGCGGAGAGCCGGTCTTCCACCTTCCTGTCATTCTGCATTTCCCAGGTTGCACTTTAGAGGATGGTGTTTACATTCAGCGCTGGCCTTTCAAGACCATCTGCATGCTGTCTGCTCTGGTTTCCATTCTAATGTTTTCATATGTGTCTTCATTCCTATTCAACAAGGGGATCCTTCCTGAGAGGTGGGACGTGTTCAAGGTGAAATTACAAGGGGCGCCAATACCAGCAGATGGCGCCAGAGAGGGTGAAAAGGCTGATGTTCAAAATGAAAATGAGCCAGTGCATGACACAGGTTGCTAATTCACTTTCTATTGACTGTATGAGTTATTTTATTTTTGTTGCTGCCAATGAAAAAGAAAACGTTTTTTTTTTAAAACTACATTTCTATTTCTGCTGCTCACTTCTGCTTCCACAAATGTGATTGTTAATGAAGCAGGTGATGGATGCATGTTTTGATTAACATTGATATTGTGTCTTATTTGTGAATTATTATTATTGTTTTATTATGTGTTATTTTGTTATGTAAAATAAAATTATACATTAATTATATAACCCTAATATAGAACTAAAATCTAGTTGTAGTGGTCTTTTTTCTTCTTACATATTTCACAACTTTAGATTCTCCATAAGAAATGAAATACTCTAACTTGAGAGCTATTTACAGTTTTTACCACAAGACACAAAAAACTGTAAGCACAAATATTCTGATTCTGAACCATGAAAACTACAGTATAACATCATACACTAAGCCAATAATGGACAAGAACTACATTACTATAATGGATTAATTTCAGAGAAAGTATGGGAAAACACTGGCTGAGCTTTTTCCCATTGTTCCACTCATGAGTACCAAAAACCACGTGCAAGTTGTCAAGACATGCCAAGCAAAATATAAGGAATGAGCATACAAACAAATGCCCAATAGAACAGAGCAATGCAATGTGATGTGAAACACAATCTAACAGCTGCAGTCAAGGTCACTGCTGCTGTCTTGCACTAAACCTCCCAGTCAAGAGATAAAGAAGTGTTATAAGATTTAAAACAAAAAAGAAGAAATGGGATCAGAGCAAGCCAAACCTAACTACAGTCCAACATCAAGATTAAGAATTAATTTTTGACCATAGGTTGTTATGAAAATATGTTATGGAGAATATGCAGACAAACTAGAGACACAAGGGTTATACTGACATGTTTTTATATTACTTACCGGTACTTTCTAGAATACTGTCCTTGACATATTTCTGTTCAGATAGGATCCTTCCTATCGTAGTCGTTGTCTTTATGCAAGTCAGAGTAGACTCAGATGTTTTCTGCCCTCTGGATTGCATCTGAGTAACTAAGTTGCTACTTTTCCTGCACTGAGAAAGCACATTACGCTTTGATTTGAAAACTGACACCTTAAGAACAGGAGGGAGGGGAGGGGTCGTCAGTCATCAATCACAACACCTGAGGTTAAAGGGCACAACACACACACACACACACACACACACACATTCAGACTTCTAAGGATGCAATACACTTAACAAAGGCATATAAATATGTTTAATTTGAAATAGTTTTTACATGCTGAGCAGCAGAGAAGGTAGATGAGAAGAGAGCATGTCTCTGGCTTAAGTAGTATTGATGACAGGTCTGGTGTCCAAAGGGAATCTTGACCAATGAAAGGCCGGTGTTTGGGCGTTTATGGCTTTTAAACCACACCTTGGCCGCATTCTTGACCCCCCCCTAGAGGGGTCTGCTATCTGGCGGGCATGTTTTATGACTTTCAATCACCACAAACAGGCTTTTAGACTTACAAGGCCTCAGGAGAGTTCTTTGTTTGTGAGCACATGGACAGATTCCAACATGTTCCTTTGTGTTTCAGTTAAACACTTCAAATGAGCAAGTTCATATTTAAAGGTATCCTTGAATCCCAACACAGTAAAACAAAAAACCATGGTTATGCTGAGCTACACCAAGAGACATAGCACTGGAGTTTAAACTTAAACATACCCAAACAAAACGCAGAAAGCAGAATCACTACTGGGGTTGTAGTAGCATTAAGCACTATAAATGATGTATAGCAATTATTTTACCCAAACTTTAATGAAACAATTGTACCGACAAAGACATATTAAAAAAATTTAGCATTTTGTATCCAGCATTGGTTCAGAGGCCAATTTATCATTTTCCTCAGTCCTATCACTCTCACCCTCTCTGGCGCCATCTGCTGGTGTTTTCACCTTCACCTTGAACACGTCCCACCTCTCAGGAAGAATCCCCTTGTTAAACAGAAGTGAGGCCACGTATGAAAACATCAGAATGGAGACAAGAGCAGACAGCATGCAGATGGTCTTGAAAGGCCAGCGCTGAACGTAAACACCCTCCTCTAAGGTGCAACCTGGGAAACGCAGGATCACGGGGAGTCCAAGCATTGGCTCTCCACACAACAGTCTCAACACCACTGCAACAAGGTAGCCTGTGATCGCCCCGTAACCGTTGGAAACCTCAGTGAAGAGAACGCAGATCAGCTGGGGAAACATGATGGTGTAAGTGAGGTCTGAGCCCAGGATCCAGAACACCAAGATGCCGCCTTCCAGGTTGGTGAGAGAAGTTCCAACAAGTCCTGCAACCACTATAGAGACACGGATCACCCACTGCAGCTCTTTATCTGATGCCTAAAAAGCAGAGAACATAATACTTGAGTGACTAGATGGAAGGAAATTACGTGTACATCTCATGACATATACTGACTCAACCTGCCACCCCGCCACCCCTTCCCTCTGACCCCCCACCTGCACTTAGGATCTGTGACAGAAGATCAGGAAGGCAACATGGGACAGCTTGTTACTTGCAGTTACTTCCGTACCGGCACCTTTGCTAAGCATGGCCATGCCCACTATTGAGGTCACCGGTATTTTGTCCAAGGAGTATACAATAAAATTTGGGGATAAAACTTTCAAAAAATAACTACATTGATGCTTTGATGCATGCTCCAAAACCCTCCTAGCAGGTTCAGTTTTTGGATCTGGGTATTTCTAAAATCCTGTGTACAGCAGGACAGTGAAGTACACCTAAACAACTCTGTGTAAACATGTAGATGGCTTAATGCTAAGAAAACAGCACAGGAAATGTAATTGTTAAAATAGATAAAAAAGGGGCAAAAGAATTAGGGTTAGGGTTAGGTTGTATATAGGGTTAGGTTTGAGCAGAAGTAGGGTACTGGCACCTATTTTGATCCAATTCACGCATTAGTAAGTAAAATCAACTTAGCTCAACCGGTGATGGCAAATGCTCATCACAAACTAGAATCTAATCCATTCATTCTCATTCACATAGACACTTTGACATGCATTGGGAGGAGCCAGGGTTAAAATCTCCAAACTTCTGATTTGCTGATCTGCTCTACCTCCTGAGCCACAGCCACCCACCTGTGTATGCACTACACTACTGGCTCCTGTTCTTTGTACTGTACCTGACTCCTGATGGTCTGGTAGATGTTGGTGGTGAAGATGGTGGTTGCAGACAAAAGGTAAGAGTCAGCAGATGACATCACTGCAGCAGCAACAGCTCCGATGCCAAAAGCAAAAATGTAGGTGGGGGTAAATTGCTGAAGGATGATGGGCAACACCATAGCCCCCTCCCCTCGCTCATATGGAGAGGGAGAACCATATGAGGTGGAGTTCCAGTCTGAAACAAAAGATAAATGGATGGTTTCTAACACTGAACCATCTGGGAAGTTGTCCTTCGAAAAAATACATGGCAGGTGATTGGATGAACCATTTATCTATGACCTACTATCACCTATCATATCTATTATCTATTGTCTATCATGTGTAAACTTCAATCAGTCAGACCTTCCTATTGTTTTTTCTTTTAACCAAAGAGGGAAAACATTTTTTCCATCGAGAAAAGCCTTCAATGCCATTCTGTGAATTTCTTTCAGTAACAAAATACTCTGGGTTATAAATATGCTGCCACCATCCTGACAACATTTGACTTAACACAACCATGACAGATTCCCAGCAGTTTTTGCAGTGCTGGATGCAATAAAGAGACTTGATTCATTACACCAGGCTGTAATTCTTCAGAGAACTAGCAACTCAGTCTTTTTGGAATAATTTCTCCTACATTGGTTAACAGTCAAGATTACCTGTTGATGCTGCAACAGCACCGATCAGCATAGATGGGATTCCAGCAATGATGACGACTCCTGCGGCTACGAAACAGATGATTCTGGCTGTGGATGTGGAGCTAGAGGACAGGGTCCTTTGATGGAAATCCTGAACTGCCATGTTGCCCACGCTCTAGAAAATGAAAATGTGAGACAAACCAAACCACACTCTATCCCTGTGTTATCAATTTAAATGTTATATTTTAGGAATGTTGCTTACACTTAGAGAAATTATGAAAGATTTACATTTGCTGAATTAAACTGGCTTTACAATGCAGTGAAGGATGAGACAGGCTGTCCCTCATCATTTCAATATAGACTCATATTATATGGACAATATGGGTTTATAACCTGCCAGCACTTGTGTGTGGACGCTACATACGTTCATCAGTGTCATCACATTCCCAAAAATGAGCTGGGGTTAAAAAAAACACACTTAACACAGATAAACTGTGCTCCTATTCATCTTACCATCACAAGAAAATTATCAATCCATCTCCCGATTTTATCAGACTCAAGCTGGCCAAGCCAGGGGGCCTGATGTGTGTGGTTGAGTGCTGTTTTAGTGATGTCAGTATAGATGTCACTTGTCAGAACAAAAGGGACACACAGCCACTGTCAAAAGAGAAAAACACACAGTAAAATCTCAATAAAGAAGGGATACATCTGAAACCCATCATTTTTTAAACGTTCCTTTGCGTAAAGCTCACCAAGCTAAGGAGCACCAGTGATATCTGGATGACATCAGTGTAAGCAACTGAATAGAGACCTCCAAGAACAGTGTAGATGATTGCCACCACAGCAGAGATCCAGACGCAAACACTGAAGGGCAGATCCAAGATGACAGTCATGGTTGCTCCTTTAGCATCAAACATAAACAAACAGTATAAAATATAAAGGAAAAAATGGACGAAAGGGTCAGAAAGTGAATGTGTTGATTTGAGTGTGCTTACACGCGAGTACCTAAGGAAATCAGTAATCCAGGAATCCAGACTACTTCAGTTGTGACTGGAACAATGGCAAGAACCGCAGTCAGTGCTTTTCCATACTTTCTCTGAAATGGATCCATCATACTGATGTAATTGTTCTCCCTCATTGGTTTTGCGAAGAACAGCCCGCCTTTAAATGGATGAAAAAGAGAGAAAAGTAATATAACAGTCTGTATTAATGGTACAGCCCTGGACATTTCTTTCCACGTGTTATTTAACTATTACATATACTATACTATACTAACATAAATATCTATTATGTAACCAGTCCATTACCAGCTACCAGACAGGCACACAGTTATTTTCTCATCTTTTTGATAATAATAGTCAATTGCCTGTCTTGATCTGATATTGTGAATTTTAAGAACATCATATTTTATAGTTGCAGTAAACAGATGACACCGCTGGGGACACACCTTTTAAAAGAGCCAAATTCTAATTAATTGTAGTCAGACTCTTAAAACTACAGAGAGATTTATATGGAAGAGTGGCACTTACCAATAATAAAGGAAATTGACATTTGCAGAGGAATAAGAGCCCAGATTAGACCCTTGGTGGGGTCATAAACTGATTCTGCAACACCAATGATAAAGCCACCTCCAACCCAAGTGGCTGCAGTAGAAAAGAATACACATAAGGGTTGTATCATTAAGGTGGTGTGAGAACGACATATTTATTGAAAGGATTCCGATTTTACAAATGTTCCAACAACTTTTAAGAATGCATACAAACGCTTCTATTTGCATTACATAACACTTAATGAGGATACTAATTGTCTATTTGTTATAAGGAAACTAAAACTTACCCGTCATTGTGAAGACTCCCACTATCAAGCTCACACTCCGGTTAGCCAAAAAAGATATCTCAACCTGTCCATTGTGTGTGTTTTTCTCCATTTTCTTGGATTTTACAGACGCCCAGATACCAATTCCCAACACAAGCAAGTAGAAAGCTATCATCATTATTAGACCTGGTACATTGAGAGCCATTCTAAATTAAAACCAGTGAAGGTGAGACCTTACTCCTTTGGCTAGTTTTTTAAAATGTGCCAGAAGACCCCAGTTCACAAGTAGTTCCTATGCTTACATCCAGATAAACTGGTTTTCAGTAATTACCCACAGATGGGAAGGTGGCCCTGAGGGAGACCTTGCAGGCGTTGTTTAATGCCAGATTCCAGTACTTCTGAGAGCACCTCTACAATAAAACAAACTCACTACTATTCCAAAGACATGGTGTGTGACAGGGACAGAAAGACTCCCACATATGCTGGCTGCACATCCAACTGTAAAAAAAAACCCAGACAAATGGCATTCTGAAACAGCCACCAGATACTTAAAAGGAGACTTTACAGATCCAACAAGCCAGGAGTAAAAAATGCTCACCTCTTAACATGCCTCACCCATCTGTTCCCTCTACCAAAACAAAACATGGCAAGACATAACACAATGTGGCAGAAAAATTTAACCCTGAGAACAAAGAAAAAACGACCACTTTACTCCTGCTCTTGAATCTTTACACAGGCTTCCAGTTTAAGATTACATAAGCTACTTTGCTTTGCATAAAAGTATGATTTTTTTACTATTGCATGCTGTATCAATGGATGGTAATTTTATTATCAGACTGATTCATATTCAAGCTCTCTGTTATTATCCTTTTATTGCAGAACCCTTTCTCTCACTTTCTCCTAATTCTTCTGTGGGCCTTTGTTGAAAAACTGGACAGTGCACTTTCCATCTAGTTAGTCCCATTCTTTTTGTAGCACTGAAGTTTAGTAGCCTTGTGTTGGTGCATGTTTCAGCAATTACAGCCTCAGATTCAAATGATTGTATTCTTTCTTATGTCAAAAAGTAGAGGGAGCAGTAAGAAGAGGGGTCCACTTCATAGAGAACAAAACTTGTAACACAGCAACACAACTGATACGCAATTTATTTGATTAATATCACACGTCCGTTTTTCTACAACATCAGGTTTCCTTCAATGTCAGTGCATTTCATTGGTCAGCAAGACAACCAGTAGAATCCAAAACCAAGAAAATGTCAAAACCTAGAATACAAGTGCTTAGTGGATTTCTCTCAACATCAAGCACTCATTCTCAAAAAGAAAACACACACACACACACACACAAATAAAAGATACGCCATTGCATCGGTAAATAACTGATGAGAATGCTGTGCTGCTTCGTTGGAAGACACACACAGAAAGAGTTTGCATAAGGCACCAAGACGTGGAGGGAGTAGCTTATAAATCGTGGATTTCCTCTTTCTGTAGAGAACAGGCTCCGTGTCCAACTTGATACTTGGATTTTGAGAATGTGAGGCTAAAGTTTAGTTGAGGGGGGGAAGCAAAATGTTTGTGCATCACAGCATAGCACATTTAAATGACATCCAAAAGAAAAAACAAGAAAGCAAACAGCAACAGAGCAAGAAATGTTACAGTCTTCACAAATAGCGGCTCTAAAAATCAGAGCCATTAAAGCTGGAGATGGGGGATAAACACGCATTCAAAGTGAATATTTATTTGAATTACAAAACAAGCAAGTTTGGTTAAAAGCTTTTACGACAGACATTTGTAAATTTAACGTAATGCAGACACAGGAATAGTATACTTGCTGAAATCAATGTGAACAGAGAGACTTTGCCATCATGCATGTAGGAATTTTACCATCCACTGCAAAACCACAGAACTAAAAGAGAAAGACATGAATGGTGGCGTAGCAAACTTTAGAGGCATTCACATGTGACTCAAATCATTTGATCATTTCAAATTTGGTCTACGACATGCCATTCAAGCAGTGTCACTTAGTCAAACTGCATGACTTCATATCATTAAGTATATTTACATGCACACCACTTACCCAATCAGGGCAATACAATCATTATTAAAATTACAGTGTGAACTCATAAAGTCATAATCAAAGCGAGCCTTGCCAGGTTAAAGGGCCATTCCACCAATTTTACACATGGGAGGAGGAGGTTCATCAGATGTCATAATGATGTCATTGTGGTTATGTCCTCTTAAACTGGGAGACTGGTTATATTGTTGCTTTGGCGCCTATAATGTAAATTAAGTTTCGGATTGTGATGTAAATTTGATAGAAAACTGGAGAACAGAAACCCTACCCCATGTGAAAACCCCCTTTAAAAGAAAGCCAGGCCTAGTGACGAGAGATTACTGTACATTTCCAATTATTTATTTCAATCGTTTTTACTGCTCAAGACGTTCCAAACGGTTTTGAAACGGGCAGGTCTAATGAAAACCGTTCCACAAATGCCTTGCATTATGGCAATTGTAAGCTCCCATTTTATCCCATAATAAGAATTGAAAGTAATAATATCGCTCTGAAAGTAATAATATCGCTCTGGCATTTCTTTTTTCCTTTTTAAACTGTCTCTCTCAAAAGTCCCCCCCAAGTTTATGATTATGACCAAATTGCTGTGGTACCCCCTTTAAAAAGGTCCAAGCCTGTAGGAGAAATTACCGTGGCCGTGTTTGGTTTAGCTGTCCAGGGCTATGTAGAAACACTGTGGTTCAACATGCCCTCCTTGGAAGGCGACCAACAATGTCTGTAGATATAAACATCTCATTCTAATGTAACAAAACCACGACGATGCTCATCTTTGGTGATTACGCACAAATTAAAACATAGTTATGCTTATTATATCCCATTTCTGCCAAAAGATCCCCTAAATGTTACACATTTGACCTTTATAAGTCAACATCTTGAAAATCACGCTTCACGTTCGTGCTTAGATGAGAAGATTGATAGTGCTGTCACCTTAATACGTAGCTACAGCCAGAAAGCATTTAGTTTAGCTAGTTGCTGTAGGAATTCATTGAAGAAAAAGTCCCCTGTAAAAAAAACATGTTACAATGAATTAAATGAGACATGATTCTGCTAGGCTAGCCATTCCCCCAAATTCTGAAAGAGAAATTCATTCATCTGTACCATTGTCAATGTTATTATCAAAGTATTGCCCTAAGATGATTACGTACTCCTAGAGATCCGAATATTGTGTGCAAGTAAATGTACTCAGTGACAGTGGAAAGGCTTCTGTGTTTGTATGGTCAGCTGTTTTGGGGGTTTAAAGGCCCCTAAAGGCCCTGACGTATTTTCTGTAACAACCTCTTACTGTGATTCCTACACGAAAATAACAAATTCTGCCCAAGTTAGAACAGTTTTGGATTTTTCTCTTTTCTTTATGCTTTAAGCTGTGACGTAACTTGTGACATTCTTTAGTGCACCCATCAGGATTAAGTAACATCTGATCAATAAAAGCTGATGAAACAACACACAGACAATCCCAACAAAGCATATCAGCTGACATTTTGACTGTGCCTAAAATGTTGCTTATTTAGGCCTAAAATGTAAAAAGTTATAGAGAAATGAAGATCATGAACAGCAACTTTACATTCCAGTATACTGAATTCAATTTACAACAGTTTCACAGCATTACAATTATCAGGCAGTATTTCAATTATTTTGAGTTCAATTATGTTGAATATTGTATTTTAGGATAGGAGAAACTCCTCAAAAGTCACTTGACCCGATACCACAGCTAAAAAAAGAAAAAGAAAAAAAGAACCATATCCAGGTTGATCTGCAGAACCCAAACTTAGAGCGTCATTCCTCAGACTACCTTAAGGCTGTGTAAATAGAGTACCATTACCTGTACAAGAATGTTTTCATTGACATTGGATTACAAAAAAAACAACCCAAAACTGATCAGCAGTACAAAAGCTTGTACTCTGAGGCTTCGTGAACATCGTGAGTGAGATTCGAGAACACCTTTAGTCATGCTGTCTCTCTCTGTCCGTCTCCCCATGTTGCATTCAGCTGTAACTCAGTGCAGGTCATGCTCTCACTTCATAACCATCAACCACATGTGCGTGCTCACAACGACACACACACACACACAGTCACTCTCTCTCTGATACGGTCTGTTTCCTCCGGCAGCTCCAGGATCTGCAGTCTGTATCAGAGAAGCTTCAGGAGGAGAACCAGACTCTCCGACAGCTGAGCTCAGATCAGAGCAGACAGACGGAGGTAAACCACCATCCACACCAGACTCCATTCAGAAAAACAGCGTTTTAGACTCTTTACTCTCCGTCTGTGTGTGTGTGTGTGTGTGTCTCTGTGTGTGTGTGTCTGTGTGTGTGTGTGTGTGTGTGTGTGTCTCTGTGTGTGTGTGTGTG